TGCAGCGTACTGCACTATTCTCATACCAACCCATATCTTTATTCAACGGATCTGTGGGTAAACGAGAAGTACTTAAAAAAAAGAACTCGGTCTTGGTTGTCCCAAGAAAAAAACAACAATCTGTACTTTGGCGACCTAGAAAAAAAGCAACTTGCACCTTAACGTAACCCAAAAAACCTGACTCGCGTTTGGCCTTTTTTGGGGAAGTCAACCCGAAACTCCTAGCTTCGTTTGGAACGGGTAACCTGCAGCTTAAGCCCCTCTCTAAAAAACAACCTACCTCCATTTCTTCCCAAAAAAACGACCTACACCTCCTGCTTTGAAAAATACAACATACATCTCGGCCCCCCTCTCCTCCCTCCTCCATAAATTTCCCTTCATGCCTCCGTGGAACCCTCTCCCCCTTCCCAGCCTTTCCTGAAAGAGGATCACATTGGCACCTCGATTTTTCCCCTCACAAAAAGGAACCTCCCGTCCCGGCTCAATACCCGACGTCCTACATCCCTGCCGTAAATCAGCAGTATCCCTAGGATGTACGTGATACACACACGCCAACACGTACGCCTGGTCCTCGCTCCGACGCCATGAGATTTTGGAAGAATGCCAATTTGCGTTTCGCAACAGCAATTTTCTATAGGAGAAAAGACTGTGTCAGTCGATGGGACGGCAGAATGCTATCAAAAGTGTATGTTAGCTGTGTAGGGTGTAAAGTGCACTCTGTGCACATGTGCGGTAAAACGATGTTCCCTGGGCTGGCAGTTCAGGCTAGGCAGGTTGACTGGACTGCTTTAGGCCGGTTGTATTATTACCACGTTTTTCTTGAATACGTTGGTGGGAAGGGGGAGGGGGGAGGAGGGAGGGGGAGGTCTTGCGCAGATGAGGGAGGGGGAGGGGATGAAGTCGTGGAAGGTTTTGTTGGCCACAAGTGCAGTAGCGCAGTGTGGACGTTGGCCGTGACATGGCGTGGCTCGTGATACTTTTTGACTTTGCTTGGGGCCTGACTTGGACCTGGCTGGAGTACTCCTTCTTGTATTTCTGACCGAACGTATTGTAATCGACGCAAAGGGGAAGTGGCAGACGACCTGTACCTGGAAAAACGTGAGGCCGACGCCTCTCGGGAGAAGCATGGAGCTGAGGTGTTTCGGATGAAGCGTGAAACCGACGTATTACGGGGCAGAAAGAGGGCGATGTGTCCCGGAAAAAGTGCGGTAACCGAGTAC